GGAGGGTGAGGCAGAGGATCACTTGAGCCCAGGAGTTTGACGCCAGCCTGGGCAATATAGTGAGACCCCGTCTCTACAAAAAATAAAAAACTAGCCAGGTGTGATTGTGTGCGCCTGTAGTCCCATCTACTCAGAAGGCTGAGGCGGGAGGATTGCTTGAGCCCAGGAGGTCTAGACTACAGTGAGCCTTGATTGTGCCACTGTACTCCAGTCTGGGTGACACAGCGAGACCCTGTCTCAAAAAAAAAAAGTATATAAAAATAGAAACATTCCATGCAGATAAGAGAATAATAATTTATGCCCCTCAAAATTACTTTAAAATGCACTTTGGAATTCCTTTAATACTGACTACCCTTACTATCCTTAAAATGATTCACTTTTCAGAAATTCAGTTTTTCACACGACTCTGTAAAAGCAGGAACCACTCTTTCGGAACTGAAATTGGGCCTGTTTCTGAATCCCCTCCTCTTGCGTTGTTGTCTCTGAGCAGCTTTTCTCTCCTTCCTTGCTCCACAGGCACCAAGCCCTTAGACACAATTGTGAGGGATACTTTTCGAGGCTTGTGTAAAACATCTACTCCTCAGACTTCTTTAATTTATATTATTTCATTTCATCCTTTTAGTTCTGAGTTAGGTAATGTCAGTGGTAGAAATTCCATTTTACAGTCCAGGAACAATCCAAAATATTTTACTTACAATCCCACAGTTAATGACAGGACAGACTTTACTGTGTGTCCAGAGACCTACCCATCCATCTGCTGCCGTTAGTGTCTCTTTGGCTTGAGCGCAGGAGTCCTCGGTGAATTTGTTTTGGACTTGAACTAAGGAGACAGAAGACCCTTAGTAATGCTAACACTGCCTCTCAGGGATACACCCAAGGAGCATTTCTGTTTCAGTGAACAGTCCGTAAATATGTAAGGAAGATCTGAACGCAGGTAGCCTCACAATTTGAGAAGTAACATCTAGTTTCCATCTGAGCGAGAACCATCTAGATGTATTGTTAAAAATAAAAAAGTCTACCAGGCAAGGTGGCTCACGCCTGTAATCTGAGCACTTTGGGAAGCCAAGGCTGGAGGATTGCTTAAAGCCAGGAGTTTGAGACCAGCCTGGGCAACAAAGTGAGAACCCTATCTCTACAAAAAATAAAAATAAAAATAAATTAACCCTGTGCATGGGTGTGCGCCTGTAATCTTAGCACTTTGGGGAGGCGAAGGCGAGAGATTGCTTTAGCCCAGGAGTCAGAGGCTGCAGTGAGCCGTGATGTTGCCACTGCACTCCATGCTGGGTGACAGAGTGGAACACTGTCTCCAAAATAAATAGTAAAAATTAAATAGCTGTAGAAATGGAAGTCAGTCCATGGTGATGTGTTAGAGAGGAAGGAGGAAGGAAGCTCAGACTAAGGCTTTTGTGACTGTGGATTTGGTGTCAGTTAAGAGTTCTCCAAAGTATCTGCCTCAGTACTAGTTGACTTCATATTGTCTCTTGTAAATGTTGTTTAGGTCCGATTTGATCAATATGTAACTAATCCGCTCCCTCATGTCACACATCTTCTAGGATGTATCTGCATTTTTAGCTCCTTTCCTAATTGAAGTGTTATTGATGACAACAAAGAGAAAGTACGTTTAGCAGTGATGTTCAGGCTAAAAGTAAAGCAGTGGTTCTCATTAACTAAGGTTAGGGAGAATGTGTGTATAGTTTGAAAAAGTTATCTGAGATTTTCTTCACTCCCACTAGTTGAAAAGTAATGCATTGAAATTGACTTTTTGCAGTTAAAATATGGTAGTGGCAAGTATGGATTCAGGTAATTAGGTGGGCTTCATCTCCTACACTAAGGGAAGGATCTTGGTGAAGTACACTAGAAGCAGAGATGTTCCAAACCTCTTGGGGCTCTCATTTTAGTCCAGGTGGTGCTGTGGTTCAAACAGTGTGAGTTTCCTACCTAATCAGAAAGGAAAACTTAAAAGCAAAACTTGAACGGCTTTTTAGTTGCTCTTATTCCCTCGTTAGCCCTTCATTGAATCAGCTCACCAGTTCTTTTCCTGAGATAGGTGTAGGATAAGAGAAAGAAAACTGTATTTGGAATCTGAAGACCTGGGTTCAAGTTTTAACTCTGCCATTTACTAATGTAAAGTTGCTTAAATTTCTGAGTTGGCTTGGGGGATGGTATTTAGGCTTGAATGAAGTGAGTTAGTATCTTTTTTTTTGTTTTTTTGTTTTTTTTTTTTTTTGAGATGGAGTCTCACTCTGTCTCCCAGGATCCTGCCACCACACCCAGCTAATTTTTGTATTTTTAGTAGAGACGGGGTTTCACCATGTTGGCCAGGCTGGTATCGAACTCCTGACCTCAATTGATCCACCTGCCATGGCCTCCCAAAGTGCTGGGATTCCAGGCCTGAGCCACTGCACCCGGTCTCTTCCATTCTGTTGATGGAGCCCAGTGTCCCTGCCCATGACTTACCTTGCGTATAGACAGGTTATCTTCAGTGAAATATTCTGAGCTTTTTATCTATAAATTAATGTTAAGCTAGTATTACCGATTAAGTGTAACTCATTTAAAGCAAAAATAGAGTGAACATTCTATGCAGAGTTTGATGTTGGTCATTGGTAAAGTGGGAATGTACCCCTTTTGCACACTTGGCTTCCGTATGAAATAGATGGAACTGCCATAGCTTGGTCGGTGTTCTGTTTTGCAAGAGGATTAAACAGGGAATTTTTCCTTTTGGGGCAGACTGCCCAGGGATACTGGACTCCTTGTCCTGACCACTGGGATCCTGGGGTCAAGATTCTTCACTTCTCTTCCTGGCTGGCTACAGAACCCTGAAGATATTGCTTCTAGGAGACCAGGGAAGATGACAAGGAGGTTGAGTTTTTCGATTGTCTCTGCTTTCTTTGCATTTGAATTGAAATTTGTTTCCTTCCCTTGTTTTGCTGAGAAATCTTTTGGTTTTGATGGAAGTAGATTTTCTTTTTTCTTTTCTTTTTTTTTTTTTTTTTGAGACGGAGTCTCGCTCTGTCGCCCAGGCTGGAGTGCAGTGGCCGGATCTCAGCTCACTGCAAGCTCCGCCTCCCGAGTTCACGCCATTCTCCTGCCTCAGCCTCCCGAGTAGCTGGGACTACAGGCGCCCGCCACCTCGCCCGGCTAGTTTTTTGTATTTTTTAGTAGAGACGGGGTTTCACCGTGTTCGCCAGGATCGTCTCGATCTCCTGACCTCGTGATCCGCCCATCTCGGCCTCCCAAAGTGCTGGGATTACAGGCTTGAGCCACCGCGCCCGGCCGGAAGTAGATTTTCTAGAACCTTGAACCACGATTGTAAATTGGTGGCTCATGGGCCAGATGTATCTGGCAAATGTGTGTTTTTTGGCTTCTTTAATGCTTACATTATTTTCATTAGTAGCCAACATGTAAAAGCCAGAGGATTTCACATAAAAATCCAGATTCAGTCAGGTGCAGTGACTCACACCTCTGTGATCCCAGCACTTTGGGAGGCTGAGGCAGGAGGATTGCTTGAGCGCACGATTTTGAGACCAGTCCGGGCAACATAATGAGAACTCCAGTCTACAAAAAATTAAAAATTAGCCAGGTGTGGTGACACTACCTGTAGTCCCAGCTACTCAGGAGGCTGAGGCAGGAGGATTGCTTGAGCCCAGGAGGTAGAGGTTGCAGTGAGCTGTGATCACACCACTGTACTCCAGCCTGGGCGAGAGAGTAAGACCCTGTCTCAAAACAACAAAACAAGCTGGGTGCAGTGGCTCACACCTGTAATCCCAGTACTTTGGGAGGCCAAGGCAGGTGGATCACTTGAGGCCAGGAGTTGGAGACCAGCCTGGCCGACATGGCAAAACCCTGTCTCTTCTAAAAATGCAAAAATTAGCTGGTTGTGGGGGTGCACGCCTGTAATCCCAGCTACTTGGGTGGCTGAGGCACGAGAATTGCTTTAACTGGGAGGTGGAGGTTGCAGTGAGCTGAAATCATACCACTGCACTCCAGCCTGGGCGACAGAGCGAGATTCTGTCTCAAAAAACAAAAACAGGCCGAGCGCGGTGGCTCAAGCCTGTAATCCCAGCACTTTGGGAGGCCGAGACAGACGGATCACGAGGTCAGGAGATCGAGACCATCCTGGCTAACACAGTAAAACCCCATCTCTACTAAAAAATACCAAAAAAAACTAGCCGGTCGAGGTGGTGGGCGCCTGTAGTCCCAGCTACTCAGGAGGCTGAGGCAGGAGAATGGCGTGAACCTGGGAGGCGGAGCTTGCAGTGAGCCGAGATCGTGCCACTGCACTCCAGCCTGGGTGACAGAGTGAGACTCCGTCTCAAAAAACAAACAAACAAAAAAAACCCAAATTGCAGTTTCCAGCTTGGGCCCACATAGAGGATTTGGCTAAAACTGGGGTGTAATAGTCATAGGTTGCTACTGTCTCCATCAGCATACTTCATGCCTAGCCCTGCAGACACTTGAATTTTCAGCTCCAGACACAGAACATGAACTCTAGTTTTTAAAGCTGGCAGAGTACAATTTGATGAGTTAGTGGTGGGTTACCTTGCTCTTGGTTATCAAAAAAGAGTCCTGCTTTCCTAGCTAAGAAGGTAGAAAAATAACTCAAATAGAACCAGGGACTTCACTAGTATCCTCGCTCCTGTAAGAGTTTCATTTCTATGATTATGGAGCCATGGTGGCTTCTAGATCCTCAGAGAGCTGTGGGCATCTTTCTTTACATCCTGCTTATTTAGATTCACCACCTCATCCCCTGCACGCTGGTGCCACTGCCGGCAGAGGGTGCTGTCTGCTCACTGAGCCTGCTGTCATCTTGGCTCAGCTGAGCGGCAGCTGTTGGGCATGTGCCCTGGGTCTGTGAGAGTTTGGGCATGTCCATTTGGTTCCCATCCCTAGTGCCCACCCCTTAGACCCTGGCCAGGTTATTGTGTCACTGGGGACTCTGTTCAGTAACAGGAAACTGGGGAAAGTTTAATTGTTTTCTCCTCTCCCTTTTTCCCATGCAGCTGAACAAAAGGTTCATCCTCAGTTTTCTCCATGCCCATGGGAAGCTGTTTACCCGGATTGGGTAAGTGTGCAGGATGTTTATTTTATTTTCCTACATTACAAGTCATTTTGGAATTTAATATTGTTAGCAACTGGGCTGTGTTTGTAACTGAGGGCACAGGGTGTGAATTCTTAGAGGCCTCCACCTTCTCTTCTCTTCCCTTCATCTTCTGTCCTACTGTGCTCATGAAATTTGGGAAATACTACTCTCTATCTCTCTTGTTTCTTCTTTCTCCACCTTTACTAAAACCCTTCTTTAAATACAATCTTGTCCCAGCCCCCACCCCAGTCCCTCTGGGTTTCTCTTTCCTCTGCCTTCGGGCTCAGTCTCCAGTGAATGCCCCAAGGCAGTCATGCTAAATCCCTGGGTGCAGCTGTCAGGGGGTCCTCTTTGGGAAGAATACTGTCCACTAATTTTCCATCAAAAATAAGAGTAACATTTTCGCTCTATGTCCTTCTGACCCATATCCTTTCCTCCTGTGCTCAGTTTCCTGTGCCATATTGCTGATCTCATTAAATACCAAGCCTCTTACAGTTTCATCATCCACCATGGATTTCCATAGACATCTCAGGGAAGGTGGTATGTGCAAAACGAACACTTGACTGCTTAAATTCCTGGAAACAGATCGAGTTTTGAGTATTCTTTTATTCCTTGGGTGGATCCAAGTTCTTCCTCACTGCGTAAAACTAGTGATCCTAAGCCCAACGTAATGCCTACACAGCAGAGCAGATGGATGCCTGGAGCCTCTTTAGTACAGGATCTCCCTGAGTGTAGGAGAGTGAGGAGCGGAGTAGGTGGCAGTGCCCCCAGACCAGTCTTCCACTCAACCCGTCTTCCACTCGACCCGTCTTCTGCTAGACCAGTCTTCTACTGGATTCTAATATTTTCTGAGTTGGAAGTTGTATTGTGAGCTGCCCTTTGGGGTGATTTGTTTTGAATTATAGATACCCAGTTATTGTCAGTGTTTCCCTTTCACTTCCCGTCATAACTTTGTAAGTTTATCTGTAATTCTCTAGAAGGCTTTCTTTTCTTTCTTTTTTTTTTTTTTTGAGACAGAGACTTGCTCTGTTGCTCAGGCTGGAGTGCAGTGGCGCGATCTCAGCTCACTGCAACCTCTGCCCTCTGGGTTCAAGTGATTCTCCTGCCTCAGCCCGCCGAGTAGCTGGGATTAACAGGCACGCAACACCACGCCCAGCTAATTTTTGCCTTTTTAGTAGAGATGGGGTTTCACCATATTGACCAGGCTGGTCTTGAACTCCTGACCTCATGTGATCCACCTGCCTCAGCCTCCTAAAGTGCTGGGATTACAGGCATGAGCCACCATGCCTGGCCTAGAAGGCTCTCTTAGCGGAGGTAGGGGCTATGTCACTTTCCATATACTGTTGTAGGTAACTTTTTTGAGAAGTGGAAAGGCTTGGTTCCACTGGAAGAAACTGCTCCACGGGCGGTGGACTAGAAAGTGTGCTTATTACATATTCATTCGGTATCGACCTGGGTAAGATTGATAGTGATGGTCATTGCAAGCATAGTTCGGTTTTCAAAATGACTTGGGAAGATTGGAAAAGGTACTAGTAGATGGATCTCTATCTGTAGACATAACAGGTGGAGACATTCACTTAGGCAAAGTAAACTAGATGCATCACTGGTCCCATCTCCTGCTCCCAACTCCGCTGTCCTGCCACTGCCACCAGTTTAAGTTCCACTCTGGCAGTTTTTGCCTCACTGTTGTATTCCTAGAGCCTGGCATGTAGTATTTGTTGTATAAATGAGTGAATTATAAAAACGGATGGATTGCCAAGCACTGCAGAGAAACATGTAGTATTCTAGTAGGTTACTGTAGACCCAAGACAGTCACTAGTGAGTAATGTAAGGCTGTAGTTACAAGGTGGAAGTTACTTACATTTTTAAGATGATATCGGAATCATCTTAAAAATAACACATCAGAGTAGGAAATACCATTGTGCTACTCTTAAAGTAACAGTTGATGGTACTCCTGCTTTCATTTTATTCTTTTTTTTTTTTTTTTTTTTTTTTTTGAGAGAGAGAGAGCCAGTTTGTGTTACCCAGGCTGTAGTGCTGTGGCTATTCACAGACATGATCATACCACACTATAGCCTTGGACTCCTGGCTCAGCCTCCCGTGTCCCTGGGACTACATACTCCACGACAACTGGCTTATTTACCTTCTTTTTTTTTTTTTTTTTTTTTTTTTACGGGGGTTTTTTTTTTTTTCCCCGCTGGGGGGTATTGGTGGGGTTTCGGCTCACTGCAAGCTCCGCCTCCCGGGTTCACACCATTCTCCTGCCTCAGCCTCCCACGTAGCTGGGACTACAGGCGCCTGACACCACACCCGGCTAATTTTTTTTTTTTTTTGGTATCTTCAGTAGAGATGGGGTTTCACCATGTTAGCCAGGATGGTCTCGATCTCCTGACCTCGTGATCTGCCTGCCTCAGCCTCCCAGAGTGCTGGGATTACAGGCGTGAGCCACCGCACCTGACCTGTTTATCTTTTATAGTTCTCGTTTTTTCATCTTTCTCTCCTTTACTACTTTTCACTCAGTGTTTTCTCTCCTTTTTTCCTTGGCCTATGTTTGTTCTTTAAATTTTCCTCTACCGTGTTGCCCTAAGTCGAGATTTCTCAACCCTTGGCACTGTCGACATTTTGAGCCAGGTGACTCTGTTGTGAGGGGTGTCCTGTGCGTTGTAGGATACTTAGCAGCGTCCCTGGCTTCTTTCCACTACGTACCAGTAGCACACTCCCCCACCAAATGTGATGATTCAAAATGTCTCCAGACATTGCCGAACGTTCCCTGGGAGACAAAATTGCCCCTTGTTGAAAACCACTACTCTAGATATTTCTTGCCCTGTTAGAGACTTTTAGGACTAAAAAAGTTATAAATCTTGGTGCAGAATGTAGGAACATTTAGGATATATTTTTATCAGCTTATGCAGTAGTTACACCCTGATTTCCCCTCCCCTTCTAAAATTATTATATTTCAGCACATATTTTGGAATAAGTTTGGGAAAGGACTACAGTAATGATTAAAAAGCCAGATAATGACTGGGCGCAGTGGCCAGAAAATGAGATCTGAAAGGAAAAATTAACTTTAAAAAACATTAAGGTAAAAAATATTTATTTAGAGGCAACTGTAGGGTGCCTACATGCTTAAATATAAAAGGGTCCTAACAGGATAGTCTTGATTTTTATGGAATGACAGTAAGAGAAATTGGCTTCTGTTGTAGCTGGAGAGATTTGGGTTAGGTGTAAGAAAATTTCACAGACGGGAAGATGGTTGAGAATTTTCTTTTTTGGAGGCCTTTAAAAATGAATAGATTATCTCATTTGTCTGAGGTGGTTTACTGTGTTCCAGGTTATTTTTCAGGATCTCTTTTATTCTTGCCTATAACATATTCTGTTGTCAAAAAGGTAAAGCCAGCCCAGTTTCACCTTCATGAGAAATGACTTACGGTAGTTTTCATTGAGGAAAATGTATGTCAATTCTAGGCACTGCATTCCCTCTATGGGTTTCCTCTTATTCTGTCCTGGAGGTAAAATAAAATTGAGCCCCATCTTTATTCTGGAAGGCAGAAACAGAAATAACATTTCTATTGCAGGGAGAAAGGTATAGACGTCTGTAAGACTAGGAAAGCAATGATCCCAAGCCACACACAACATCGTGGACTGTTGCCTAATTACCAAGAAGATGTGAAATGTGGGCAGCTTTGAGAACGAATTAAGAGTGAGGAGATTGTAATGGGGAGCAGCTGAAGGCACATCACTCTCCCGCCTGCCTTTTCAGAAAAGCCCCGACGCTGTGCTTCCGGGCATGGTCTGCTCTATGCCTGGTGCTCCACAGTGCATCAGCATAGACTCGAATGCCTACTATGTGCAAGATGAGTCTCTTAACTTCTAGCACTAGCTGACCAGAGGTTCAGAGCCTTAGAGGAAATATTCAGTGCCAAAAAGAGTTTGTTTTTCACCGCTTACTAGTTACAAGATCTTGAGAGTAAACAAGTCAAAGCTGCTGTGGGCTTCAACTAACCTGATCAATGGTTTAAAGAGATGATCTCGGAGGTCCATTCCAGTCCTTATGTTCTGTAGCACTATGATTTGTTTTTTTTTCTCATTTCCACCCTGTTACATGGCTTAGTTTTTTGGTTTTGTTCTTTTGCTCCTGGGTTGTTGCTATCTTGCTCGGTTTTTAAAAATTAAGAGGTTGAAAAAAAACTAACCTGGATTGTTTTCTGCAGAGAATGTTGTCTAGCCCAGCTGTGTTCCTCAGCATCTGAGGGCTGAGTCCTGCTCGGTTAGTCACCGTCTGAGTCAGTCCTGGGCCTAGGTCCCGGTGTTGTCTGAAAGATTCGTTTCTTGAAACTGCCATTCAAATGAAACAAGGTGTCCCTAGAGATCACTTCACAAGGCACCACTTTTGTCCGTGAAACACATAGCCCGAAAACGATGGTATCTTCTGAGGTTTTAAAGGATAGGAACAGAGTCATCTTGGATTCAGGAGAAGGACTCAGTCGGGGTGCCATATGGTTCCTGACAGACCCTCCCCTGGTGAGAGGCAGATCACACCTGCGCTCGGACTCCAGTGAGAGAGGTTAGGAAGCTGCAGCCTCTAGGCTCTGAATTTGTGACAGATAGTATGCTTTTGCTTCCTATTAGCCTTGATCACCGTTACCACTTTAGTTTTTACTTGCTTGCCTAGTCATGCTATTTGCATAGCTTTAAAGTCTCTTGGAATTCAAAGACTGATGTATTTATTTTGTACTTTTAATTTTTAAAAACATAATGTTTGTGCCTGATTCATTTTTTAAGTTAACAAATGTTCTTAAACACAAAAGTAAGATGTATTCATTATGGGAGAAATCTTTTCTTTCTTTACAGTGCTCTTTGTAAAGTATTTAGAAAACTCAGCAAAGAAGAACAAATAAAAAATTACCCATATTCCTACCACCTAGAGAAAACACTGGTAAAATTTTTTCAATTTTTTTCTACATATCACATACATACTTTTAAAAATTGCTTTATAACTATTTTTTTAAATATATTTTGAAGTTTCACATGATTAAAAAATGTGATACAACTTTAAAAACTAGTATTCAGTTGTGTGCATTTGCATCTTAATCATCTATTGTCGGGCACTTTCGATTGCTTCCAATTTTTGGCAATTATAAATGACCACTTTTTATAAGTTTTCTCTGTTGCTTCTCTTCCTACTTTATTGCTGCGACTGCTGTTTCTTCTTAGATATAATTTTATAATTATTACATAAATATTATCCAGAAATCCTTTAAAAAGTACAACATTAAAACTAAGACTAAAATTTCTTTTAACTCTGCGTCCTCCAAAAAGATAGCACTAGACATCAGGGCGTGTATTCTTCCAGACCTTTCACTGCCTTTACCTGCTTACTTACATATGTGTCCATCAGACTTACTTACATGTATGTCCATCGGTATGTGTAATTTTCTGTCTGTAACGCAGGGTGAAGCAAAGATGATTTCTCAAAGAGAAAGACGTAAAACTACTTACAGGTAGTTTGAGGCCAGAATTAGATAGCATTTTGGTTACAAAACTGGAAACCAGAAACCACCTACTGAGCCCCGAGGAGGGTTCCTGTCTCTGTGTGTGCCTCCCGTGGTTACTGCTGAACAAGGCTGGTTTTGCATGAGTAGATCCACCTTCCCTCGCATCTCACATTTGAAGTTACTCTAACTTATATCCTTCTGCATTCAGTTTTTTCTTTTGTTTTAATCATGTTGAATTAGTTGACAGGCAAAGGGAGAATTTTTTTAAAAAAACTTTTTATAAAAAGGAAATGTGGACAGTTTGACCTGGTGCTCGTTCAAGACTTCAGTGTGACCCAGAGAGTGTTAATGGATCTGTTTCAATTCCTACCCCAGGGAAGAGGCTTCCTCAGACACAGCTTCGAAGCAAAACTGTCCCACGTGACACTTCTGTCCTGTCGTTCTGTGCTGGCTCTTTACCGCTTTTCAACACGGAGACACATGGCTCTGAAACTTGCCCAGCGTGGCTGCTTTTCAAGCAGAGTGAACGCTGCTATTCTCGTAACGAGAAGTACTAGCCCCCCTCCCCACCTCTGACCAGAAAGAGTACTGCACAGTGTCAGGATTTAAAATGAAACCTTTGTTATAGCCCATGGGGAAAAATGGATCTAGTCCAGCCCCAAACATATCACTCTCTGCCATTCCACATCTTCCAAGAGTTTTAACGGCTCTGACATTTTTTAGAGGAAAAAAAAAAAAGAGTTTTGTTTTGTTTTGGAGGGGTGGGTACTTGAAATGGCATGTGGAGAAAAAAAGCAAATGCATGGCATCTTTTGTGCCAATGAAAATGAGGACAGCTCAGCAGAGAGGAGAACTGGAATGTAAACTGTAATTGACCCATAACTGTGGCACGACTTCTGGGCACCAGGGGGTCAGTAATAGGAGTTGCCATCCAAGAGCAAGGAGCGAAGATTGCCAAGATTCCAGAAGACCTGGAGTTTTGTAATCTGGGGAGTGCACTACTCAATCGGGAAGGGCCAGGATGGGTGAAGCTAGAAGCACCTTCCTCTAGAACTTGAGACTGGTTTCTATCTTTTGAGAAGGATTACCTTCGTTGTGGTTTTTCAGAAGCTATTTATTAATCCAACCTGGAGCTTTTCCCCAACCCCACAAGTATGCCACAAGCAGCTTGTTTATTTGGGGTCTGGGGGACATGGTAAAAAATACTTTGGTGACCACGAATTGTTCACCTACGTGCCTGGTTACTCTCTTAAGCACCAAGCTTGAACTTGCTTTTTCTTTCTGAAGACTTCAGCTGTGGTTTGTTTCTGTTGCCAAAGAAGCTCCAGGCATGCATCGCTGTTCAGGATCCAGTGGCCACAGTTGGCAAGGAGTGATTTGAATGACCTCTCCTTAGGAGCCCTAGGTCACTGGCTAGATTTCTGCCTCCCTGCATTACAGCCTCTTCCTGTATTGGGAGTGGCACTTGGCCAGGGCATTATATTTCCACTGGCCTGAAAACATACAGACCCCAATGAGCAGAGGCTTGTGAGAGGGAGGAGGACGGCAGCACAGGAAGAACTGAGACAGATGACTGGGGGCCTCTAGGTCTAGGCATTCTTCAAGGGGAAATTTGGGATCCTCAGGTGGAACAGTCAGTGTGATAGTACCTCAGAAGACAACAGCAGAACTTTGTCTGGTTACCTAAAGTAAACCCTTGAGTAAAAAATCTTTAGGCCAGGCGCAGTGGCTCATGCCTGTAATCCAAGCACTTTGGGAGGCCGAGGCAGGTGGATCAGTTGAGGTCAGGAGTTCGAGACCAGCCTGGCCTACATGGTGAAACCCCCGTCTCTACTAAAAATAGAAACATTAGCCGGGCATGGTGGCACACACCTGTAGTCACAGCCCCTCAGGAGGCTGAGGCAGGAGAATTGCTTGAACCTGGGAGGCAGAGGTTGCAGTGAGCTGAGATTGGGTGAAAAGAGCGAAACTCTGTCTGAAAAAAAGAAAAAAAATTTTTTTTTTTTTAGATTCATGTTACTCTTTTAATTGAATTCAGTTTCATACCAGAGAGTTTAGGGACTGTGAAGGTTTTAGGAAATTTGTTGAGTATTTAGAAAAGCTGATGGTTTCAGAGAGAAACTTTGATATCAGCTTGAATGCAGTTATTGCCAGGGGTGAGGAAATAGCATACCAAAGCATAATCACTCATTGTGATTTATCCAAAACTTGAGTTGTTTCCATCTCTGAACCCTGAAAACTCCTTTATCTTGAATTTGTTCAAAATTACAGGATTCCGGGAAGGTTTGTGAAAATAGCACAGAAATGTCCTAGGCAGTAGTTGTCTGGGTGTGTGTGTGTGTGTGTGTGTGTGTGTGTGTGTGTGAGTGAGAGAGAGAGGGAGAAAAAGAGAGACTGAAAGAGAGCGTTGCCTCACCGATGGGTTTGCTGTATCTGCAGGATGGAGACATTCCCTGCAGTGGCTGAAAAGGTCCTCAGGGAGTTCCAGGTGTTACTGCAGCACAGCCCCTCTCCCCTTGGAAGTACCCGCATGCTGCAGCTTATGACCATCAATATGTTTGCGGTCCACAACTCCCAGCTGAAAGGTAAGGAATGTTTAGTTTCTTCATCTAGAATATAGACAGATAGAGATTAATGTAGCTTCTTTCTAGCATACCTACCTCCCCCCACCCCACCCCAGAACACACACACCCTCCCCTTCCTACCATTGTCTCAGATATTTAGTTTACTTTGAAATCTATATGATTCTCCAGTGCTTGGGTGGGATGGAAGGAGGGAATCATGGGTATAGAGCTTAATTTGCAAATGCAGAGATGCTGTTGCACATCTGGCCACACGAAAGGCAGCAGCAAGGCCTCTTGAAGGCTGCAGACCCAGAGCCTCTCCCAAGGGAGAGGCATTGCTGAGATATTTCATTGCAGAGACCATACGCTTGGCAGGGATTGGGAATAGCTGTTTCTGGACTCATGTACCCTGTTTGTTCAATATGGAAAAGTCTAGTTCCCTATGGGATATCCCTAGTGGGAGCCTGCCAGGGAGTAAGAACCAAAAATTGATGAGCTTTGGTGATTCAAATCTGGAAGCACAAAAACCACCAGGCCCAGAATTTGGCTGGTATACCAGTGTGCATTCTGAAATGTTTTTCTGAACGTGTTGGGGTTTTTTTCATAGGGGGTCGGGTGGGTGTGGAAATAGAGGGGAGAAGGGCAGATTGGCAGGGTTAAATGCTCTGATGACCAGGTCAGGGTCAAAGGATGTTACCAGGATTTCTTCCCTTCCCTTCCATTCCCTTCATTTCACTTAGGTAAGGATGATATGGTATGACTTGATGGAATTATGTAGCACAGGGATGGCATTCTTTTCTGTGCTTATTTGCAAGGGCGATTTGGTCCATGCTGCCAAGGAATCATTTCAGAACAGTGACAGAGAGTGTTTCGTCTCAGGGCAAGAAATGCCAGGAAGTGGGAATTGGCCCATAGAGACCCTGCTGTAAAACAGACCTGGTGTTTCTTGATAGAGTGCCGCTGCGTCTCTTGTTGCCCCTTTTCATAGCACTTTCTCTCACCATGAAGTTGATTTATTTATCTCCCGGTTTGTACTTACGGGTTATGCTTCACTTGCTTGTGGTGGGGGAGTGAGTATGCCACACTTTGCCTTGAAATGGAAATGTGGGTCTTTCTGGGACTAGGCAAGGTCCTCTCAGAGTGTGTCTGGGTTCTCAGTCACTTCTGAATCCTAGAGGATTTCCTCATCTCGTGCTGCCTGCTACAGCGTTTACAATTTCCAGCAGAAAGCAAGATCAGGGACTTAGATGCCTTTTTGAACTTGGCTAATTTTTCCTGAGATGGCTATTTGGGTAAATGGCCCTGAGGAAGCATCGAGTCCTAAGTGGCAGCACTGGTTTTCAGGGAGAAGAGAAGAAAATTTGTAAAGTGCTGTGCTGGTGAGGCCCAAAGGGGAGGGACAGTCTGCACCAAGTAGGAAGCCCACTTGACTCTGGAAATGGGCCCTGAGGTGCCCTCCCGTTCACCTTCCTCCTGAGGTGTCCTCCTGTTCATCTTCCTCCCCAGGTGCCCTCCCGTTCACCTTCTTCCCGAGGTGTCCTCCTGTTCATCTTCCTCCCCAGGTGCCCTCCTGTTCTCCTTCCTCCTGATGTGTCCTCCTGTTTATCTTCCTCCTGAAGTGTCCTCCTGTTCATCTTTCTCCCGAGGTGTCCTCCTGTTCATCTTCCTCCCCAGGTGCCCTCCTGCTGTTGTCCTTCCTCCTGATGTGTCCTTCTGTTCGTCTTCCTCCTGAAGTGTCCTCCTGTTCATCTTTCTCCCGAGGTGTCCTCCTGTTCATCTTTCTCCCGATGTGTCCTCCTGTTCATCTTTCTCCCGATGTGTCCTCCTGTTCATCTTCCTCCCGAGGTGCCCTCCCTTTGATCTTCCTCCCAAGGTGCCCTCCTGTTCTCCTTCCTCCCGAGGTGCCCTCCTGTTTATCTTCCTCCTGAGGTGCTCTGTTCATCTTCCCATCTCCACTAAAAACAACCCACAGAGTTCAGTGAGCTGCCTGTCTCAGAGCTGTAGCCTCAGCCAAGACATTGTTCCTGTACCAAATGACCTGTGGCTTCTTTAGGTGTGAATGTGAAGGACCTGCAGCCCTTGCCCATGAAGCATCTGTTTTCAGCAGCTTCTATTCCGTGGAAAGGAATACCTTGGCCTTTTAATAGGCCATCAGTGAGTCTTTTTCTTGTAGCTGTTGTTAAGAAAAGGTTAAGAAAATAAGGGTAGGCCGAGTGCGGTGGCTCACACCTGTAATCCCAGCGCTTTTGGAGGCCAAGGCGGGCATATCACCTGAGGTCAGGAGTTTGAGACCAGCCTGGCCAACATGGTGAAACCCTGTCTATACTAAAAATACCAAAAATTAGCTGGGCTTGGTGGTGGGGACCTGTAATCCCAGCTTCTCAGGAGGCTGAGGCAGGAGAATTGCTTGAACTTGGGAGATGGAGGTTGCAGTGAACGGAGATTGCAAACTATACTGCAGCCTGGGCAGGCAGAGCAAGGCTCCATCTCAAAAATAATAATAATAATTAAGAATTAAAAATTAAAAGAAAAAGAAGAAAATATGGGTAAAAGGAAGGTAAGATGGTGAGTACAGAGAAAGAAATTGGTTGTTCCCTGATTTGAGGCCCAGGTACTTTTTCTAGGACTCTTCCACGGTGGGCCATAATGAGTACCCTCTAGCCAGGAGAGACATGTACAAATAAAGCCCGTACTTGAGACCCTACTCTTCATTACTGGTCTGCTCCTGACTCTCACCTCATTGTTACCTCGATGAGGTAATTGGGGCCAAGAAGAGTATGAGTTGAGGTGGTCAGAGGCTCCAAGGGTGTTTCAAGGAAAAACGGCCCAGGCCACAGGATATAGCACTCAGCGAGGACAGAGAGCTCTGTGGACGTGTTGCCAACTACCCGGTGTGCAGCTGAGGCAGCCATCCAGACCCCACTGTGTGGGCTGCCGTTGGGAGAGGGGCGAGCAGAGTCTAGACCCCACTGTGTGGGCTGCCATTGGGACAGGGGCAAGCGGAGTGCTCAGCAGGGCTGGCTGGTGGGAAGATGCACTTTTCCATTTCCCAGCACATGAGTCATCATCCTTGGTCCCCTGTGCTGTGCTTGCCTGGACAGTGGCAATAAGGGGGTGTTGTGGCTGAGTAGCAGCATCTGTGCTGGGGGTGGAGAAGGAAGGGGGTTGGGGAGAGGGTAAAGATTTAAATCCTTCACTAATCAGCAGCAGTTTGAATCACATTTTTATGAGTAAGGAAGTGATAAATCAGCCCTGCGTGTTCAACCCCCAAGTCCCGTCAGCCAGTGCCCTTCTAAAGGTTTCTCCCCTGGCCAGTCTGCATGCTGTCAGAGTTGCCACCCACCCTCAGGGCCCTGGCTGCCTGAAACCAGGAAGCAAGAGCCTGATGCTGCCTTGCCCTCCCAGGTGCTGGGGTCTGTGGTGAATTGGCAGTCACTGCAAGCTACAGAACATCTGGGCCATCATTTTTCTTTCTGTTCCTTCTTGGACATGTCCTTCTGGGTGGGTGTTCGCACATGTCAGTTTCTGGACTCTGTGGAGGAGGAGCATTCCAGCCTGAAGCAGAAGTGATCTTGTGGCCCACCAGGCAGCTGAGATCCTCGCAGTCTCTACCTGAGTCTTCCCTGTAGATGTGGTGCCTAAGGAGTATGATTTGGAGAGCCACAGGGAGCAGATTCCTTTCTTTAAAAGTGTGTTCTTTGCTGATGCCTCTAATGCTGTCGTGAATCATTTGTTTGTGTGTTCAGCGCCACCCTCGTATAACTATCTTCTTTTCACAATATCAGTAATCCAGGATGGAAATCATATTGTTGCTAACATTTTGCTGTGATTACTTTTCAAGTGTGTAGAAAAGCTTTGGACACTGCAGAAGGCAAAATGAAAGGAAAAGTTTCAGTGGTGGTGAGAGAATGGCATCTTTGCCTTTCCCTAGGTTATGGTTTTCCCAGGAGCCCACTCCACTTTTGGGTGCAGAGGATGTGAGGCCAGATTTGCCCCCCTTCCTACAGGGCGAAATAAGTTGAGTAATGCCACATGATTTAGCCAGCTAAACTTTCCAGTTTCAGCAGTGGTCTTAAAACTCATGGGTTCACGGGTGTTGGTGGAGAGACCTTGATCTCCTCTCGGATGGGCCCTATGCAGAGTCCTACGTCAGTGGATACAGAATTCTAGAATCCTCATACTGCACACTCAGGTAGTTGGGGATAGATAAATTTGAGGGATGGGACAAGGGACATTTGAGGGCCTTGGCTTAGGGCCTGGTATTTATTCGGCATTCAGTAAGCATTTGCTGAGTGCATGGGTGAGGAAGGCAACAATTCTGGGAAAGCCAGCTCTCACTGAGCAGTGTGTTCCTTACCTGGCCCAGGTCCAAAGCTGGTGGTGAGATAGGTGGTTCCCAGAGTGATGTCATGACTGGTAATCTCTCTAAGGCATTCCTGAGCCTGAAGGGAGGAAGGGCTTTCTCCACGTGCCTCAGTGTTTAACACTTCGGTAGTCATCTAATTGGTTGACGTGATGCCGGAGGGTGACCTATTGATCTAAACCACAAGTCCGCCAAGAATTTTAATTTTTAAAAAATTTTGTAATTTAAGGAAATAAAACTCCAGTTTCTTGAAGGGAAGAATTGAAGCAGCATTGTTGTAGGGGAGCACTGAAACCCCCTTGCATCTCCCATCTGTGCCCAATTTGCTCCAATCTGGCCTTTTTTTTTTTCTTCCTTCATTTTCTCTCCCCCCCTCTTGTTCTCTCTTTTTCAAAAATGTTTTATAATTCCTGGAATCAAAACCATCTTAGGCACACACTGTTTTATTTTACTGTATTATTGGATTATACCGCCTATAAATCACTGGATGTTACTCATTGGCCACCACTGGAATAACTTCCCTTTTCTGTGCCCTGGCTCCCTCTTTTTCTCTCTACCAGTTTCGTAGCACATACATCCATTTCGGCTTTGCAGAGAAGCCCCGGTGGCAGCAAGAGGGCACCCAAGAGACACTTCTTGCATGTGCTGTTGGTGTTGC